TTTGGCAAACATCCGAAATAAAACTGATACGCCATTGTGCCTACGGAGAGATTTAGAGTTTCACTTAGCTTCATCGTAAGTCTGTAAGTCAGATTTAACATATTGTTGTAGTTGCAACTCTTTACAAGGACAACTGAAGAGACCCGTCGATGGAAGCTACAGGAAGCTTGACGACCTGGCATTTTTGCACAAACATGAGTGTCCTCGATACAAGGGCGATTCTTCTTTATTTTGACAGTAGAACGCAGTTGACGGTGAAGTGAGGACCGGTTGCTTTGGTCACGGTTATCGGGGAAACTGGGACTCATTCCTAGATACTGCAGTAGACACTTGACGGCACTGACCGGATGCAGTTGTTATGGTAAGGAGTTTGTTGTAGGTAGTCAAGTCGAAAGAGTGGTTAACTTAACATCCTCACCTGTTCTTATCCGGCCCCGTAAGCCTAGGGGATAATGAACGGCCCGTTACTTGAAAAGTATGGAGGTCCCTATTCTTAAACCCTATTTCGTGTGCTAAGAGGGTGCAAAACATCTACTGATCCTATCGATAATGGTGTTGAGACCGCACTCGACAGTGATGCTCGTCTTTTCAAGAAACAATGCCCGAATGTCAAAAATGTGGCGTTTGGGGTCGCAGTTGCTTTATGGTCGATATGGGCAATATGATGGGGATTATGATTCTCTTCCAGACGTTCTTATACCAGCCTGTTCTAGACATTAGTGTGGTCTATAATCCACCGAATGATGATATAAGGAAAACAGCCACTTAGCTGTTGCACCCGAAGTCCTGCGTATAAACGGAAAAGGCAGACGATAAACAGTAGACACAATTCTTCAAAGAAGTCTTGTACACCGTTGAAATTGGAGAGCTGGGAAACGTCATATCTGGTACCGCAAATGGGTTTGAACGCCATCATCATTGTTAGCCGTATAGGACGAGCTATCATTTCATTCCTGACATACTTCGGTAAGCCACTTATGTGTTGTTCGGACTAACTGAGGCCTGCTTACAAACTAGGTCATTTCTGTCTGTGATTTGCCTTAAAGAGGCAGGTAATCACCCGTTGATTCCCTCCGTTGATGCCACTGCGTCCGTGGAAGTCGGCTTTCGCAAATAGGTTGGGGGCTAAAAGTGGCAGGTCCCGTACCCTTCAGAGTACTTTTTCATACTTTTGTGACTAACCATTGAAGCAGCAAAATGACACCACCACCAACTCCAATACTAGAGTCGTCGTATACATCGCACGTCGTGCTCTTTTAGCGAGTTACGATTTTAAAACTAAAAACAATCTTTGAAACGTAAGTGTGCGCCGTATGAATTAGAGGGCACTTCTTGTTACGGACCCATACTGCTGACCTCACACATAGTGGATGAGTGTTCCACCAAAGACGTGCCACCTCCCTCATGCCTATGAATTCGAACTTCATAGATGGTTCATCACATATCTCTCAACAAATGGTTATTCCTATCGGGTCAGAAACAGCAGTTCCCCTACTTTTGGAGTACACCGCTTCTGGTCAGAAAAGCTTGTAGGGTGGATGACTGTTCGCAATATGCTGACCCGGGTGGACGGTCCACAGTATCAATACGAGATACTGGACATGGAAACAAATGAAATGTGAGACGGCCTTCGTGAAGCATATTCGCTTGAAGAATGTTACCGGATCTCCTCATTCATACAGTCTTCAGTCTCAAGTGAATAATCAGAGTAGTATTGTTCCAAAACTTAGTCTAAAACACCGTCGACCTCACTCCAACCCAAACATATTGCAAATCAAGAGTTGTGTTAGCGAAGTAGCGTTTTGTGGCAGACTATGGTGCAATACCCTTTCATCCGCTTTCTGTCTGTGTTCTTACATATACCACCCAAAGTTTTGCTTTCTCTCAGTCAAATTAATGAAAACATTCTAGATCTGTGCTGTTGACGCTTAGTATCAGAAGAAAATCAGTCGCGGAGTGGAATGGATGACTTACATCAGTGGTAATTTTTAACGAATATAATAGCGTGGAAATGAACCATGCAGAAGGAAGCGCGCCTGTCATACTACGGAGGAGGCTGTCAGAATGGGATTATTGTGTTCTGATTTTCGGTTCCAAGAGAGGAGCTATGATGCTAATCTTGTTTAGTTGTTAACATGATACCGCCGCGCCAAGGGATTTTACCCATTTTCGTACACTTCATTTGCGGTCCGGATCGCACTAGGTTCGTTCCCTGCAAAGCCCTTGGAGACTGTGTTTACTTAATGCGATACGTGGAAAGTTTCTTGGTCTTCACCAGATAGCTTCGTAGAAAACAAAACCGCAAGATCCGACCATGAAAATCAAATTCTCTTGTCGAATAATTTTTGTGGCAACCCATGGGCCAAGCAACCTACTTTTTCATTGCACGAAGGGGTCAAATCACGGCAGACACTGAACCCTTAGGATCCCTAGATCCAAACAAGCGAACAAGTGCAACAGATTATACTGAGCATTATCCACACATCGTTCAACTTGGGGTAAGACAATAACGAGTAATTCATTGTCCTCAAAACGTGTGCACAGGTAACACCGTAGGTTCGCCATTCGGTATTGTAGTGACCAGTTGCGAATAAATCTGGAGCCTGAGACTGCTGTGGTGAAAACGCCAACTTATAGGCCTAAAGATCCATGGTTCCAACCCAACTCAGGAACTAGACTGCTTCTGTATAGACTTGGGTAACCTGACAGTATTTCAGCTCTCGTGCTACCTTCGGGTGGCAAGGCAGCTAAGCACGGGAAAGGTTTTATAGCTGGGCGGTTATTATTTTTTAAAAATCAAACTGGGGTGGAATAACATTTCATATCCTTTAAATATACGGCACCCACTACCTCAAGTTTTGTCATCCCAAACTATGAATTAGCAGTAAAAGCACGACCGTACTCGTATTCATTTTAACGCGTGTCGATGGGAAATTCAACGACAGAGTGATTTGGCCTTCCGGCGGACCTTTACAATCTACCATGAGCTGCTGCAAATGCACCTGCTATGCGCAATAACATCAGGAGTCAGGTACTTATGCTTCACTCTCCACGACCTGGGCCAGGCCAGTCACTTACTGCCAAGTGGGTCAGAATGCTGAATCATTGGCTCCAGAAGGGGTACCTAACTAAAACCATAATAAACGTAGCCTTACGGTTCAGATGTTTGGGTCACAGACTGGACCCCATCAAAATCCTGCATCATTTCAGTGCTCTGTGGGTCATACTTTTGAGTCAAAGCAATTCAATTTTCATGTGTCTGATGATTTTGACGCAATTGTTCGTAGTACCTAGGGAGTGAGAGTTGTGCTTGGCCTCAAGGCTGAGTGCGCGTCAATAGACTGGATCCCAGTGAACAGCCGTCTTTGCGCCGTTTGACTGAATGGCTCCGTTACGAGCAATGCATCTCGACGCCGTAAACCGCGTCCGTTGATTGTTTTAGCATGCAGACGGCAGCTCTGAAGCTGAGAAAAACAGCTTGCATCGAGATTTGTTACGAATGCTTCAGTCAGCAAGAAATACAAAGACTGCAGTTCTATTTAGTAATATGAATGACTAATTAGTGCGACTAACTCCAGAGGAAATCCATCACGGTGATGGATTCGGGGTTCGCGCCCTGGACTCGATCGGGTCATGAAAAGCTCCTATACATGATCGTTCAACTTGGAGTACACCGCTTGACCCTAAGTACACCATTGTGTGGGCACGTCTATCTATTCGATTTTCACCTGGAATGCCTCGCCCGATGCAAGAGCGCTCAGTTCTGTAGCCAAACAATGTCGAACTGAATTGGCTTCAAAGGCTATGAAAGTTACAATAATGATATGGGTGACGAGGGAAGAGGGGCAAGAGGTCATACTCACAGCTTTCGAAATGGTCTGCCCGAGGATGCTTGCACATCACCAATGGACATCGGATGTCGCAATCATCCGCTCAGAGTGATGCCAAGGAAACCATGCCAGCAACAAACGACTATGACGTAGAGGCACGTCCTTCAGACGGTTCTTCTCGCTCTGAAAGCTGCTTCTGACTCCACTGATCGCCAAAAATTATGATGGTGATGGAATGTGACTCACAAAAACTGTGTATGACTCTTCCCGTGGACATGTGGGTACCCATATATACCTCCTGAGTGCAATACAACGATGTCACACAAGGGTACCTTCTTCGTCAACTTTGTAATCAATGTGTTGCTCGAGTCTTTCTTACTTGCCTCCGGTACCTCAGGGATCGAAGTATTACCAGGCTGTTCACTTACACCGGGTACGCTAACAATACGACCCTTTAGGAATGCAACCCATCTTAAATAGCCTAACCTGTAAGGTTCGTCCTGTGTTTTACACCTGAACAGTGAGAAGTACTACTACGATACTGAATGCAAGCAAATCCAAACCGTACACTTGCAGATGAGCCGATCCAGTAGGCTGAAACATTGCAGATGCTCCCTCGATAGAACAGCTGATCACATTTCATAGGTTAGGCAAGTTGGGCCATGTACTTCATATGCCAGAGTACTGTTTGCTCGCAGAGTCCCCTTCGTCCAGCTATGCGTTGGGTGAAAACGACCTAAGGGGTCAGTCCATGACTTGGCTACGAGGTATGAAAACCCTTATTAGTCAGATCAGTCACGTTGATGAGAATTGTCCCCAAGCGGCACCGGAACCGGAACAAACAATTGTTGGTGCCTCTGGGACATCTGAGCGTGTCGCACAGAAACTGATGATTCTGCACCAAATTCCATCGCATTTACCGTGTAGTCTCCTCACTCCCTGCCATACTAAGCAAACACAATCATGTAATGTCAATGAATTAGCTGGATCATCAACTTCAAAGAATGGCCTTGATTTCTTTACTCTCCTTTTCTTTCGTGAACGAATCTGCAGCAACCAGAACCGAAGTACTTCGATACACGGTTTGCATCCGACGCAATGACTAACAGGCTCCCAAATGAACAGGTGTTTCATACTTGACAAACAAGATTTTAATCAGTGTTATTGGCTGTTTTGCATGCACAAGAAAGTAGTATGTACAGAGAGCAAGTAAAAGAAGTCAATTTACATAGGAGAAAGTAGTAACACAATCTAGCTATCGGGTAGCTGCTGAGTCCGGACCAGTCTCAGTCCCGGAACCGTTGGATTGTGAATTGCCCGACAGCACCCCAGCGGGTGCCGTATTCGGCGCCTCGGGGTCTCCACGAACGGCTCGATACTTGGCCATCTCGTTGGGAAAATGGCGAGACAACTCAGCAATAAGCAGTGCACGAAACCTCCGAAGGCTTTCTAACTTCCCGCGCACCGCCTCGTTTTTCGCAAGTGCTTGTTCCATAAATTCGCGAGTGTACAACTGTGGGTTCTGTCCGGCGTCAATTTTTGAAAATAGCTCGATTGGCACATGTACATCGTGAAGGTCACCTTGCATTCGATCAAGCTCCTAAGAGAGAAGAAAGAATGTGGCAGCTGAATGACGGGATTAATGTGTTCTACATTGCCAGATAAACGGCAAACACACTGTGATGCACAGGTATTCAGATTAACGATAAACTTAGTAACCAGTGGAAGTAGGAACTACTTGCTTGTAGAAGGAACCGACGTAAGTAATTATGGAGATTAGGCCGACAGATGTTATGTATCTAGATGATACAAGTAGGGTGTCGATCCCACGAGCTACACAAGTGTGACTTCTGACTTCTGTGTTTGCTGTGTCAGAAAACAGTTCGAACCCTAACTTCTGAACTACCTTGAAATCACGATCACTGTGTGCTGGAGACATTTCACCGTTGACCAGCAATAAATGTGAACTACTACGACGATAATGGGAATGGATTCCGAGAAAGACGTCAGCAACTCACCCAAAAGGATAGGACAAGCTATGCTAGCTCAGTCATTTGCTGCGGAGGCCCTATGCTTAACCGAGACTACCGAGCCGGGGAGGGTCTATAGACTAGCAACTAAGTATGAAACCCCTAATCAGTAAAATCAAGTAGGTTAGCAAGTTCTGCTTCCCTGTATCGGGATTCCGGGGCTCGAGTTGTGAATATTTAGTACACCGACAGACACTGCCAAGTCACGCATAAAAGTCACCACTCATGCTCCGTTTTTGACCAGTAAACCGAATAATTCAACGTCGATTAACTGATCGTTCCACCCCATTCCCTGTCCTTCTTATTTTCTGGTGACCGAAACTGTAACAGCAGCGAAACTAACTTACCCTTGATACATAGCATACGGCTGACAAACCGAACTGAGGTGATCACGTAAGTCGTCGCATTCTAGTTGTTAATACTCATTCTGAATGGGTACACATATTGTTAAAATCGAAACGAGAACTTGACGAGTCCTAGTCATGTTGTTTTACGACCTGATGTAATATCAAAGACCCACCCGATTGTCTCTCTGATACACTGCTGGAATAAAGTGAACTGAGCTTACCTGTAACCGGGAGACAAGATCATTAACCTTTCGTTGAAGAGAGACGCTAGGTTGATAATCACATACGATAATCCCTGCTTCACGACATAATTCGATCATCGACTCCACGTTCTCCTCTAGTGCTTCAAAACGTGAACGATCCCCCATTTCCTGATCTCATAAAGCGGTAGGCGAAAGCCACAAGGAAGAGGAAGACAGGTAGCTGAAACCAATAAGCAGAAAAAGGTGCATTTTACACGTCTGATACTTTTTTCAGTTTTTACACAGAAACTCCTTTCAGAAAGAAGCTACATTACTGCATTCTTCGCAGACCATTCTTCACTATTACAGAGGTGTGGAGTGGGTGGATACACACCAGGGTCGGTGGCGCGTGGGAAGAAAACATAGCACAGAATTCACCTAGCGACCTGTGATAGAATGAGATATTGATAGCCCAATGTAGTTTGGGGGTTGATGCCACCTTGCATCCTCCTCCTCCTCATCATCATCATCGTCAATAGTATGACATCAGTGTTCAACAATGACGCTTCGCTGTCATGCAGCCATGATTTAATTAAAAGCCCAGTTGTAAAGAAAAAGTGCACGGGGAAGGGACTTGGTGCTAGTCTACCAGTCACTTTGAGGTGCCTGTACATCCAGACACTCATTCAGGCAATCTGGATTGAAAGTAACAACGAGAACGCCACTGACATCGATTATCAGTCATATCTTTCAACGTCTCCAACCAGACGCAATGGGGATCGCGCAGTCACCATCCTGCAAGGCGAATAACACCGAAAGTATCCGAACCCTTCGCGAGTCCTTTAATACCCCTCTGCCAGGTCAAGGGTTGGCCACCTCTCTGCTTTCGCCACTCTGGATGGGACAAAGAACTACTCTCCGGCAAAAAATGGTTTGGCATGCGCAACATGTGGCCTAACCACGGCAGTTCGTGATGCTTATCACATTCTTCAATGGAAGTCCCTGTTGTACAAACAAAAACTCGCTTTATAATTGCCACGTTACGGATTCGCCAACAACAACCCACACGAGCTATGGTTCTGAGATTGTTTAACTTTGTTAAACGATTGTTAAACACCTAAAGATGTATAATTTCGACTGACCGAACAGGCCGAGTCCCACAGCCATACAACAAAACGGCCCGCATTGTAGCCTGATATACACGTCCCTTGAAATTCAGGTATATACCAGTTTGACGCCATAATTGTCTCGAATCAGCGAACGCGACCCGAGCCTTGAAGATTCGTGCATTCACCTCATCTGTCACACTACAATCAGAACTAAGACAACTTCCAAGGTACATCAAACGCTCCACAACATCGAGTGCCTCTCCTCGGATTGTAAGTGGCGTGTTCAGTGACTGCATGTCCAGGAGCATGATATTATACTTTGTGGGTGCGAAATGCACCTCAACGGACGGGATGACTTTGGTCAGTTCATCCAAAAACACCTGCGCCTTCTCCTCCTCAAAAACGAAAACGATATTGTCTGTATGTTCCAGATTCCAAGGTTTTCCTCACATGGTAGTTGAAGATTGGGGTTTTTGAGACCTTCCAGCGTTCGTCTCATTAATTCATTGATCACGAAATTGAATGAGAAGGACGGAAACTTTCGAGGAGCTCTCCATATACTTTCACACCGGAAGTCTGAGAAGGCAAACAACTTGTTATGTTCACAAATGTCCGGGGTATTCCTTAATGGGCAAGCGTGTCAAGAAGGACAGATCGGTCAACCGATTCGAATGCGCCTCGAAAATCCAAGAATACTAAGATTGTGGTTTACCTGTACGTGTGACGTTGTTCTAGAACCTGACGGAGTGTGAAGATGGGGTCAACGCAACCTCTACCAGGCAGGAACCCCGGTCTCTGCTCTCAAGTCGGTGTTTCACAAGCCACCATAAGGGAATGAAGCACAAATGACATCAATAACCTCGTGCAATCGAGGTCAAGCAAACCAACCTGTGGTAATCGTACTCATTACGAGCTCACTTCTGAAAATAGGCAGTCTCATTTTCCCTAACGCGGACAAACAGATCAGACAAGCACTGACTGAGGACTTCATCTCTATCTTTGAACAATGCAGTTGAAGGACCATCCGGACCGGAAGCTCCGTGGGGCTTGATAGAACATACGCAGTCATAAAGCTCCAAGGTCGTACGGGATTCCAAGTTCGCCGCCTAAGCCTCTACGTCGCTACGCGCACTTTTACTTGTCGCCTGATAGTTCATCGGGCCAAGTTACGTTCAGGATCGGCGGTCTGGTCCCCAGTGCTTGAATGGGCCTGGAGGCACCGTGCCACAAGCAAAACTCCAAGCATTGTGCAAAAAGGTGGCGATCCCATCCCAGTACGAATTCAGGTTTGATGATGGAGCAGCTGGAAGCGATTCCAGAGGACAATTCCGGTAAATTCATCTAACCTCGGGATGTGCCAGCTTCTCTGTTGCCAAGTGACTTGTCCAGACCTTATGCAGCCCTAGAAAACGAAGAGAGAAACTACTATAGGCGAGCGCTTGATCGGAATCCACAAGTGTACTAAAACGAGCAGTTATTGATACGCAGTTACTGATCCGCGATATTGGTAAATGTCGGTGATGTGAGTGATTTGAGTTCGTAGCCGGCACGCTACAGGACACCAAATGGTCAGACGTCTTCGGTTATTTCGAAAGTTAGTCCTGCATAAAAATAGTCTGCGGTCACCATTGTCCTTGCGTACCGAGTCTAATCTATGCCGACCACCTAATTGAGTCTCAGGTGCGCTAAGCCTGTCCACATGTGTTTCAGATACCCGGCAACTACAACGATATCCGAGCTTTTAGCTCTTCGAAACAGGGCATTCAGCGGGTCATAAAACCTATCTTTGATGGTGAATGCCGCCTATGAAGACGTGTTCGAGGATGAGATCGCAATAGAAACAACGGCTCGGAGATCTTTATCCAATAGCGATGTTAGAGAATGGGCACCAGTAATATACTACTTGTTCAGCTTTAAATGACAACAGAAAACGCAATGCACAGTAATAGGTAACTTACATGACTATCTAGTTGAACAAAATACCCAGTACATCTTGGTCGACATTAGTGGATACTAAGAAGGTGCTTGCATCCCTATATCTAGGTTATCCGCGCATAAGAAGTCAGTGGTGAACAGGTGTAGCAGCTCATCCATGCGAATATTGAACATGCAGGATCCCAAAACAGTTGCCAGGCCCCGCTGCGTAACTGAAGTGACGAAGATATAACGTCACTAACCTCAACTTGAAGGTGACCGCCGAATACGAATTCCGAGACGCAAATGTTAAGGTTTCACCAATGACATATTCAGAGAGGTCGCTGGTGATAAACCTCACCTAAATCGTTTCTAAATTTCACGCAAGTCCAGATTCCACTCGATATCACACACTTCCTTCCGGAAAACAAAGTTTTAGAGTACACACTAGACTCCTCCGAAGTCCACCTTCGGCAGAAAAAACGGGCCATTCCTGTCAGAGTGATGTTTTAGTGCTCGTTTTATTATCTGATCACGGGTTTCGGAAAGTATCGATGAGACTGACGGGTCTGTAGCTAGTAGATTCATGAGGGGGACAATTCCTGTGCTGGCTTATCCACCGCCAACATTCGCTACTCGGTTAGCTGCCATATGTCCACAAACTGTTACCCGATTTGCTACACAATATCTACAATCTGAGGTGCAAGGTTTGTAATGTTTGAGGGATATATCTCATGGAGACTCATGGAAACAGGATGCGCAAAAACTGAAAAACATGAGGCTCAAACTGTACGGCAACAAATATAGCAGTAACTAGGAAAACTCAGGCAGTGAAAAACATTCACGGGCAGATACTGAGGTGCATTATGTAGCGGGCATCGTAGTCCTCGAATACTCATCTGCCGAAGGTCCAATCGGGTTGTTCAGCTAAGTGAAGAAGCCCTGGCGTTGGAGTTGACGCTGTGCCTGGGGGAAGTATACAGACGAACCAGCGTATGACACAACCAGGTCCCTTTCGTCTTTCATAAGGAATTAAAGCATGTAGACACGATTCGTACCTCACATAGTCCCTATGGAAACCGGACCAACTGATCGCAAATACATTCGGAGAGAGAAGTTCTGGAGATCGCCCTTGTCGTCAAGATGTCCCATAGGACGCTTTGCAGTCAGTCGGTTTATCAGCTGTTAACCAGATACCAAGGATTAGTCTGTTTTAGCTGCTACCGATCAACTACCAATCGTTCCTCGCTGTAGTTGGCTCGAAGAAAGGAATTATGGCGTGCAACATCCAACGCCTACGTCCTACACCTAGGATACAACTTGTAGATCAATTATTAGCGCATCGCGATCCTCGGACAGGCTGACGTTATTTGTTCGAGAAGGCCGGAACCCAAAGACAGTAGTCGCTGCAATCACCTTATAACCAGAAGCGAACCGCTTAGTGCCAGATCCATTTTCCGTAACACCTGATGCAGTACATCAGGTTGCCGACTAAGGTTTTGTGCTGCAGCAGATAGGCAAGTACAAACGCAGTTGGTGGTCATCTGCCTGCCCACACGATTAGTTGAAAAGATAAAAAGGGATAATCGTTCAGTTGTAGCACTCTTTCGGTGCCTAATTGCAATATCACCCGAAAGAAGTACAAGATTCCGAAGCCCAGACAGGGAAAATTGAGATGCAGAGGTCGAACCACGGACCGTCCGGTCAATGAAGTCTCTCTGTAAATAATGAGCCATCTACTTCAACCGGTGTGGCACAATACCACTGGCCGACTGGTGCATTTTGCTCTCAGGATGCCTCACCATCTCAAAGGAGCTTCAACAAGCCGTGTTGACGCAGTTTGACAAGGGGCCTTCCGGAAACACCAGGATGAAAGACATCGCTCGGAGTTACGTCTATTGGACTCCTACTAGGCAGGTCTCCAGACTGTTTTCACTACGATTAAGCGACTTATCCACGTGTGTACTTTGATGTGCGATGAGAGAACCAACAGGGAAGATTTTATGGAGGTTTCTGTTGCCATAGCCAGCCAAACTGGAAACCTCCAGGTAGGGTAGCATAGTCCATTCTGACATGGTATGACACTACCCATCTACAAAGAAAGCAGGTGGGTATCGCAACACGCAGATATGTGTTGTCACAAGGGCTGCGATGAGTCCTTTTAGTGAAGTTCTGGCTCATAAACACTTCAGAAGATGCCCTACATGAACATTGAGATACTCCTTTCGTCGGTGTAGTGA